ATTCCACTTTTGTTGGAATAGTGTAAAAAGGCAATTATTTTCATGTGTTGCTTAGTGTGACATGTTAAACAAAAAGTGAATGGAAACAGAAGATACCAGCAATTCTTTTGCTCAATATTTCTTGACTCTTACAATAGTAATTTTATTTTTTCTGTTACTTTAAAATTAAGAAATCGTTGTTTTAATTAAATTTGCACATTGCACATAGGAAAATAACTTAAGCCAACTATCTATTTGCTCAATAATACATTTTTATTATTAAAAGGCCCCATTTGGTGTACATAATATATAGAGTAACGTTAAAAAACACATCGTTAAGTTCTTCTCAATCAAACTTTATAAGAGTTTACGGTTACAACAAAATACCGGGAAAAAATCACCTAACCTTAAATCGTCTTAAATCATAACAAACCGAATCGCCGCAATCGATAGAATTGACAAGAAGTGCCGTATACCTAGACGCTTGTAATTATTATTCTCTCAATCAGTTGATTTGAGGAATTTGAGGATTACTCAAAAAAAAATATTAAAAACTCAGGTTTTTGCCATTGTTTGTGTCCCACTTTAAACGCGTTGGTCTGATGGAGATGCCATGATTGTTTGGACGTTACCTCAAAAAATGGCCGCTGTAAACGTCGGCGACGTTTCCTGGTCTGAAAACGGGAACAACCGGGATCGGTTCCAACTGGCGCTCACTAGAATAACATCAAAACACACGTAGCGTGTCTTCGACGCCGGTGACGTCAAACAATCACCGTCGATAATGAGGGGCGTCGTGTTTATCAATTCAATACAACCGGTCCTGGGCCGGGGGGAGTAGAGGGGGAATTGTGGGTGACGTCTGTCAAAGTCAAACAAGCGACTTTGGGGGAAAAGCAAACAAAACGTCCGAAAAATGCGGAAATGTGACTATCTGGACCGATTGGCCCCAAAAATCAATTGCATTGTTATTGTAATTCGTCATGCACGTATAAATACGATAACAGGCCGAGGCTGCCGTTTACAAAGTGGGCTCTAAGACAAACAAGCAATCGCATCTACACACAAAAGAATGCTATGAGGAAGCGATTGTTTATCAATATTTGGGATCAGATTCTTAGGGTCTAGTTGAAATTTAAGTGACCCGCTCATTGGGTTGCCAAAGTGAGCGGCGCCAGTCGGCCTTAGGCGCACGCCATGGGTGGAGGGATGGGGAAAAGTCGCAGCAACTGGGGCAAATGCAGGCAGTCTGGCAACGGTGCAATGAGGCTTTGCTCAGGACTCATATCAATCTCTTGGTCCTGGCACGTCGCGATTATCTAGCGCGCGTCTCGCTGCCGCTCATTTGTTTCCGACGCGCTCTTGAGTCTTGAGCCCGATGCGCGCACGTCGGTAGACGAAGTGAGTGACTTTTTTCGTGAAAGTAAGAGTTTTCTTTGAGAAATGTGCCCCAAAAACGGGGGGATTCAGTGATGGCGCCTCAGCGACCCAGAAGAACCCTGGAGAGAATGCAGGGTGAGTATTCTGCGCTGGGGGGTGAATCCTCAAGAGTTCCCCCCAGGAGGGGGGATGTAAAATTTGCAGATTTTAAGCAATTTTGGGGGCATTTATCGGTTTTATTTCCCCATCGCAATTGGTCTTGGACTAACCAAACCGACGAATACAAAGGGGCCATTTACTGAACGTCGCAAGGGTCATCAGGCCAAATCCGATAAACTCATTTAATATGGATTTTGACTTTATCTCGCATACCGTTTAACTGTCTCTAATTTGTTTACGAAAATTGCTTTCCGATTAGAGAACCAGCGTCCACCAGAGAGGCCGAAAACGCACGTGAAAGACCGCAATTTAGGAAGCTTCCTGAAGTTGTGAAGTTTTTTTCTTCGAATAAATAGGTTGTTTAGATTGGGGCGGCCTTGGTGGGTCAATTTTTCAAAGTGGCGCGCAATTTATGTACTGAGCGCCGCGACGCGTGTTTAAACCGGGCATTTTTCAACCGGGCCGCCCATGATTGATTGGGGCGATCAGATTGTTTTGATGGGAAAGGAGTGAAACGGTCCACAACCATCCAGTGCCGGAGGCCAGAGGTCGGCCAGCTCTAATGTAAACACTCTGGATTATTTATTTAGCCGTTTATCGCTTGTTATGCGGAATTGCGCTATCGGCATTGTTTGCGTCGCACCGAGTGCACCCTCCGATTTTTAAGGGCACTTAAAGTCTTCGCCGTCCAACAACAACAACAGCAGCTGGGTCCAGGTGGCGGCTGTCACGGCTCGGCCCACCCATCAATCCAGGCTGTTTTTCGAAAAAGTGCCCGTTTATTTCGGGCGTCGGAAAAAACACCGATCTTGGATCGATTCCGGCTGGAGAGCGCCGATGTTTATTACCTGGAATCGCTCATGTTTGTCCAGCTTATCGGCACCTGTGCCAAAAAACGGCCTTTTTCGGGTCGATATTTGCCAAATTTGGCGGAGATTAGCATATCAACCCGCCCGGGCCGATCCAGTTGACGTTATCAGTTCTGGATGCGATTAAGTGCGCTTAATTAAAGTTGGCTGTGTCTGGGTGATGCTCATCCAGGGCGACTTCAGAGATAGTTTTCTGCTCTTTTCAATGCTTTGTCAGTAGCAGCTTTGGGTCTCTTTTAGCGGCATTTCCAGAAGATGTTAAGGGAAGTCCACTCCACTTTCGCTCATAACTTTCTCATTTCTCACGCCATTTTCAACTATTTGGCGAATTTTCTGCGTTTTCTTTCAAGCTGATAGTTGGCGCAGTCGGCGCTCTTCTAATGGCATTTTGAGAGGATGTTAAGAAAACTGCAGACTTTTCTTCAAACTGATCAACTGAAGTCGACACTTATTTTCTTGATAACTTTCTAATTTCTCAGCCGATTTTCAACGTTGAGTAGTTGTTACTTAGGGAATTTTGCAATGTTGGTTTACATTGGCTTCTTCTAATGGTATTTCCAAAGCATGTTAGATGAAGTCAAGTTTTCCCATGTCAATTATTTTCTAGCTGCCTTGTGATGAATGATTAAGAGGTTTTTGATGGAGGTGTTTCTCCTATATGGGGAAATTTTGATGAATTTTTGGTTTTTGGGCGTGTTTGTCAAAAACTATCGTTTACAAGCTGGGAAGGTTTTCTGCTTGGAATCTTTGGTCCTGCCCGAGATTTTATGAAGAATGAGTTTTTTCAACAAAGGGCGTAGTTTTTGAAGGATTCACTAATATCCCGGATGTTGCGAATCTTTCAGCGGATTTTTCGGGAATTTTCAACTGGTTTTGACTAGTTCTTCTAATGGCAAGCGGCGTGTTGCCGCATCTTATACGGTTTCGCACATATAGGGAAGCTTTGGGAACATGTTTGGTTTTTGGCTGTTTTTCTCAAAAGTTTGTGAGGCGAGGAAAAGTTTTGAATCGTTTTTCCTTTTTTTGAAGATTTTTATGCTTTTTTTACTCAGCATTGGGTTTAACGTTCCAGTGGAATGGCCGGAGTTGCCGCATCGTTTACGCTTTCGGAGATATGGGGAAGTTCTGAGGAAATACGTATTTAATTTTTGGACGTTTTTGTCAAAAGCTGTTTTTTGCAGGGCTTGTCCATCCTTCCGGAAATTTGCAGCGGTTTTCCGTTTTTTTTTAGGGATTTTTCGGTTTCTTAAATGGGGAATGAGCTGCGCTTTCAGTTGAATTTACGGAGTTGCCCTATCGTTTATGGTTTCGGAGATATGGGAGAAATTTGGGGAAATAATTAGTTTTGGTGCGTTTCTATCCTGAAAAGTCATTTGCAATATTTGGAAAGATTGCTGATCGGTAACTTTAGGCTGGCCCGAGATTTGATGAAGAATGCGTTTTTTTGATAAAAAGTGGGGTTTTTGAGGAACTCATTATAATGACATTTTGCTGCTGTTTTTCGATTTTTGATGGATKTYTGAGGTTTTTTTTWATAGSAAATGGGCTGTGCTTTCAGTGGAKTTTACGGAGTTGCCGGATSGTTTATGGTTTCGAAGATATGGGGAAATTTGGAGGAAATAATTAGTTTTTGCGTGTTGCTGYCCAGAACAGTCATTTGCAACACTTGAAAGGATCGGTGATCGTTAACATTAGACTCGCCCGAGATTTKATAAATAGTGCGTTTTTCTACAAAAGGTGTAGTTTTAGAGGCACTAAGTRTAATGCCTGAAATTTGTAAMTTTTGCWGCKGTTTTTTMATTTTTTGTGGGATTTTTCGTTTTTTTATGGAGATTGAGCTGTGTGCTTTCCAGTGGAATCTGCGCAGTTGCCGCATCGTCGATGGTTTCGAAGATATGGGGAAAATTTGAGGAAATATTTGGTTTTTGAGTGTTTTTGCTTGGAACTGTCATTCGTGGGTTTTGAAAGGTTTTCTAGTGACTAGCTTGGGACACGCCCAATATTTTATGAAGAATGAGTTTTTTGATTCAAACTGGCCTTTTTGAGTAAATCAATTAAATGCTCTGATTTTCTACATTTTTCAACGTTTTTCGGATTTCCGATTTTTTCTTAGAGATGTTTTAAATGGAGATTGATCAGTTCTTTCCAGTGGAGTCCCCGGTGTTGTCGCGTCATTTCTGATTTCTAATACATGGGGAAATTTTGAGGTAATATTTGGTTATCGAATATTTTTGTCTAGAACAGTCATTTGCGATACTTGGAAGAATTGCTGATCAGTAGCTTTAGACTCGCCCGAGATTTTATGAAGAATGCGTTCTTTCGGTAGAAAGCGGGATTTTTCAGGAACTAATTATAATGTCAAAATTTTGGAAATTTTGCAGCAGTTTTTCGGGTTTTTGAAGAATTTTTGGGTTTTTTTAAATGGAGAATGAGATGTGCTTTCAGTGGAGTTTACGGAGTTGCCGTCTCTAATATGGTTTCGAAGATATGGGGAAATATTTGGTTTTTGGGTGTCTTTGTCTAAAACAATCATTTGCGGTACCGGAAAAGATCGCTGATCGCGAACTTTAGACTTTCCCGATATTTTATGAAGAATGCGATTTTTCGAAAAACCCCATAGTTTTAGAGGAACTAATTATAATGTCAGAATTTTGGAAATTTTGCTGCGGTTTTTTTGGTCTTTGAGGGATTTTTCGTTTTTTTTTAAAGAGATTGAGCTGTGTGCTTTCCAGTGGTGTTTGCGCAGTTGCCGCATCGTTTATGGCTTCGAAGCTAAGGGGGAATTTTAAGAAAATACTTGGTTTTTAGTGTTTTTGTTTAGATCTGTCATTTGTGGGGATTGAAAAGTTATCTACTGACTAGCTTTGGTCACGCCCAATTTTTTATAAACAATGAGTTTTTCGATACAAACTGGCGTTTTTGAGTAAATAAATGAAATGCCCGAATTTTGTCATTTTTTCAGCGTTTTTCATTTCGGAATTTTTTAAAGATGTTTTAAATGGATATTGACCTGTTCGTCTCAGTGGAATGCCCGGTGTTGTCGCATAGTTTCGCATTTCCGAGACATGGGGAATTTTTCTGGAAATAATTGGTTTTGGCATGTTTCTGTCTAGAACACAACAGGATTGCTGATCAGTAGCTTTGGTCTCGCCCGAGATTGCGAAAGAATGCGTTTTTTCGATAGAAGCGGGGTTTTTGAAGAACTAATAATAAAGTCTAAATTTGGAAAATTTGCATCGTGTTTCCGGTTTTTCAGGATTCTTTGCGGCCTTAATTAAACATTGAGCTCCGTTTTCCAGTAAATTGTGCGGAGTTGCCACATCGTTTATGGTTTAGGAGATATGGGGAAATTTCAAGGAAAACTTTAGTTTGTGGGTGTTTCTTTTATTAAACTGTAAACTGGATTTGCGTCACTACTGGGCAGCCTTGGACACGCCTGTTAATTTATGAAGAATGCACTTTTTCGAGGTAAAGAGAATATTTCTACAGAAAATTTTACTTTTCCATCTGATTGCATTGAATTGCAGCCGGTTTTGCGTTGTTTTCTTGTGCATCTTCCCCTGTAGTTGCACGATTTCCATGTCGGACCACGATGGTATTCCAAGAAGCATGTGGGCGAAGCAATCATAGTTCAGATCACTGCAGGACGCGTCACGACCGTTGAGAAAAAGTGGCTTTTTCCCCCCGAAATCCGATTGAGCATCAATAAAATTGTGTTGAACGAACAGGCTGAAAGGCCACTGTGTGCTCTCCATTAAGGCGAAGAAGCAAAAAAACGCTAATTGGCATCGGTTTTCGCCATTAAGGCGCACAAGCGACTGGTTGTTTGAGGCGGCATTACCGATTGAAGATTTCGATGGGCCGAAACGCATGTTGTTAATTAAATGCTGATGACCATAGTCCGGGCGCTTGTCCATAATATCGCTTTGCGCTTGGTTGCAGATGCGAGGCCGCAATTGTTTTTTCCGGGCGCTTGTGGACCCGGAAAATGCAGCGGCGAAACGGCCTGCCGGACTTTCGACAATAACACCTACACGTGCGTGTGTACGCACACCTCTTTGCCGCCCACCCTCAGCGGAGACTGTCCCAGAAGAATCGGTAAGTCGACTAGTTTTTAGCCCACCACTGTTCTTGCATCAGAACGATTTAAAGTGGCTCTTCTTTGAACTGTTATGAAGAACTTTATTTTTCTTGTTCTCTAGCGCTGTGGTTTATTAACCGATTCTCACGGCCAATAGGGCTTTTTTAGGGAACTTTCTGCTCTTTACAATGAGCTGTCAGTTGGCGCAATTGGAGATCTTCTAATGGCATTCCCAGAAGATGTTAAGTTTAATTTCCTTGCAACAGTTGCATTTTCCAGTCGATTCCCAAAGTCGACAGCGCATTATCTAGGGAATTGTATGCTCTTTTTAATGAACTCTCAGTCGGCCCAATCGCTGGTCTTTCACTGGCATTCCCAGACTATGTTAAGGGACATCAAGTTTTCTTCATGGCTTCGACGTTTTCCAGCAGATTTTCAAAGTTAAAAAGTAGTTTTAACGGACATTTTACGCTCTTTTGAATGCAGTTATCACTGCAACAATCTATGGAC